ATAGTACAAATTATCATTACAGGAGACAGAAGAGGAAATCCGAAAAGGCATTAATTAGTAACCAAACACTATTTCTCATTATATAGAAGGATCCCTCTTCCCGGTCCCTAAGGCATATCAGAAATCATATCAATCTACTATTCAAGCAAAGTGTCTAATATGTCTCCATTCTTGGTAAAGCACAAGAACTCATTTCCTATGAAATGTTTGCTCTGGAAGATAAATTATTTATGAACAGAAACAATATCCATGCATGGAGGCAAATTTACGTGTCCCAGGATAAACTTTCTGGATCCCATCTGGGTCAGTCACTGGGACCAGAGGTTTAATCTTCCAAGCTTTCTTATTCGAGTCCAAAAGCTTGGAAGAGTAAAACTCTGGTCTCTGTGATCAACACAGAGGTTGGATCCAGAAGCAATATTTTCACCAACAGAGTATCCGTAACACTCACCTTACTGGACTTGTGATCCACATTAAAGGTTGCAATAGCACCATCAGCCAGCTCCCTGCCCTCTCTAAGCACCATATACTCAGACAGGCGATTGGCTAAGTAGGTCTTTCCAGTGCCGCTTGGACCAGACAAAATGATTCTCCGATGCTCTATCAAGAGTGACACGTAACGCTGTAGAATTGGCTTTGGAATTAGAGACTCAAATACCAGACCATCCAAACTATTCTCTACAAGACCTGTAGTATTAGAGAGAGAGAGAAACACAGTTTAAACCTTTTTCTTGCTGTTGTTGTTTTTAAATGTATTATGTCACTTGCACAAGAGAGAAGTGGCACTACTTGATATGTAGTATCTTTGAACTTCCCCATCCTCAAGCTCTTTAATTTTCAATTTTTATTAACTTTGATAGATAGGCAAAATACTCCTAATAATTCTCAAAGAACGTTCCTCTTTACAAAAAAAAATGACTTCTACATAGAATGGAATAGAAAAAGGAAGATAATGCGGTACAATGGGATCCAGTGGAACAGATCCTAATCAGTATCAACATTTTGCAATAAAGGACTTCAAAAATCTGCCACCTTGTAAGCTAGTGAATTAAAAACATGTCATATGTGGTTTTTCAAAGGGAAAATAAAATAAAAAAATCTAGGTCTGGCTAATGAAATAAGTAGTGCATTTCTGTTGTCAACGTCAAGCTTCCCGTAGAGTTTTGAAACAATAAATACAATTCTGATGTGCACATTGAAGTGATTTCAAGAGAAAAAATGAATGTGCACATTGTTTCATGAATGTATAAATGTATAAATCGAAAGTATCTATATAGGTCAGGCATGTCAAACTCGCAACGTCACGTGATGTTGCGTGATGTATCGCGACTTTTTCCCCATTGCCAGCAATGGGGTGGGCGCGGTTTCGGCATGATGAATCTGGCTCGCGGGCCGGCAGTTTGACATGCCTGATATAGATCTTTGTACACTGATAATAATCAAGCGATCTTGGAAAACATGATCTGATCAGATACACTTTGTACTTCTCCATTCATTTTTTTAACTTATTCCAAAATTAATCAAAGTTACCTCTGAGAAATAAATATTTTGACTATCAAATGTATGTGTCATTATTACTGGCCTAATCCATTTCTAAACATTCTCCATTCCTGTGATGACTGATTATGTATATCAGAATCTTCTACCATCTGACAGATTGTAGATTTCCCTATCAATGTGTAACACTAACTTGAGTTGCAGCATACTTTCCTTAAAGAGCATTTTTAATTTCAGCAGACAAAGTATTTCACCATCACTCTTCATGCAAAATACAAAGGCAAATTCTTGAATGAATTTTATATTGTATTTTACAGTGAAAACAGTTGGAACATGCAGCAAAATCTTGCACATTCAGGGTTCCATTCATCTAAAGAAAAATTTTTTGAAAAGGAAAAAGATTTCATTGTTTCCACTCCATGCCTATAAATGGGCTTAATAAGGTTTGGATTTAAAAAAAAAGAAAAGAAAGAAATTCGGAGAAAGCATTTCAAGATTCTCCCTCTTCTACACTTTACATTATTTTTTGCTCATCTGTAAATCTTGCTGAGGACTCTCTGTACATGAAACTAGGCAGTGACTAACAAGAGCTGGTCTTTATTTGCCAGTCATGGATATACAAAACAATGCAATGGATGAGGCCCACCTGTAGAGATTATCAGTCTAGATCACGGTTGTCTCAAAAGGTGCTTTTTCAAAAGGCAGTTGGGACTATGTTTTTTTTTTCTTGAGGAAGTTATTTTGCTTCTCATCCAAGAAGCTTCTTCAGTTCTGACTCAGTTCTGACAGAACTGAAGAAGCTTCTTGGATGAGAAGCGAAACGTCTTCCTGAAGAGAAAAAAAACATAGTCCAGTTGTCTTTTGAAAAAGCACCTTTGAGACTTGCAAATTGATACTTGTCTCTTAATTCTCACTGGCTGCCTACTTATCAACATACATCATCTCAGTTTTGTGCTAGAAGAAGTTGCCTCTCTTTTTTTGGCAGAAAGGCTTCCATACACAAAAAACCTATTTAATGTCAGCAGGCACAGTTGGCTGACATATAAAAGAGAAAGCTAGCAATTCTTGCAAGCCAATAGATGGCACTTCTGCAGAACGACTGCCTGGACATGGATGTTTTACACTCAGGCAGAAATTATGAAGACTGAGCATTATAGAACAGTTGTATATCTGGGAGGGTATATAAATGTGAGAGTGGAGGTTTGTTCTCTGAGCTTGTGGATTGGTTTCCAAATGTTTCGTTACCAGGCTAGGTAACATCTTCAGCAGAATTTAGGGAATGTCAGTGTTTATTGTGAGTTTATTGAAGCCCGGCACTCCACAAGCAATTCCATCAACAGACACATTGACCTACAACCAGCCTACGAACACCTCAGAATTCAAATCAACCTCATCAGCAACAGTATCAACCTTCAACCAACCCCCAACCCCCCAACCAGCACTTCAACTTCCAATGACCCTCACCTGATGTGACCTCCCCATCACAAGACCTTCATCTATCTGATATGACCCACACCTGATGCCCCATGAGACCTCTCAGAAGACCTTCATGTGACATGACTCTCACCTGACCCCTCACAAGATCCATCACAAGACCCTCACCTGACATGACCCTCCCATCACAAGACCTACTGTCCACTCAAAGCCCTTATAAGCAGAAGAACACCAATACTGATATTCCCTAAATTCTGCTGAAGATGTTACCTAACCTGGTAATCAACCCCAAGCTCGGAAAATGAACCTCCACCCTCATCCTATACCCAAATTACAGATAGTCACCACTGTATATACATTTTTAATAGCATACAAAAAATGACTGAAACATCAGTTTAGACCTTTCTTACCAAAATAACTCAATATTGCCTGTTTTTTTTAAAGTATAAACTTTTAGATACTACATCAGAATTTGTTACAGAGCAACACATCAAGAAAAACTGAATAGTAATAATCTTTGGAAGAGGAACTGCAAATAATAACCTTTTTCCTTGGTGAACAATATTGGGTCTTTAAAATTCAGTTGAAGACAATAAACCTACATTCCCTTATTTGCCAATGTTCATGGACTGTTACATTTGGAAGAACTGATTTTCAAATAACCCAAACAACAGAGCAATTAGAATAATCAGTGGAACAAGTTGTCTTCAGAAGTTATGGGTGCTCCAACAATGGAAGTTTTTAAGAAGAGATTGGACAACCATTTGTCTGATATGTTATAGGGTTTTCTGCTTGAGCTGGGGGTTGGACTAGAAGACCTCCAAGGTCCCTTCCAACTGTTATTCTGTTACTATATAAATGTAAAGCTGTATTACAAAGCTATCTGTAGCACTTTATAGTTTGGGGTGGGGAAGGGGTGGAGAAAGGAAAAAAAATCTTCTTTTCATTTTCACAGCTCTGTTGTGTATTCACTCTCTATCCTAGTCTGCACATATATAATATAATTCCAGTTCTTGATCTTAAGCTTTGAGAATTTTAGCAATTGAAGCAAATGCCATTAAGTTAACTTTGTTGGGTCCCAAGCTCTATTGTATTTGTTTACTTCTCTTGAAATAAAGAATATTTCAATGATAAACAAATTATACAGGTTAACAAAACTCTACAGAAAAAGACAGGTCCTTTCTTTCTAATAAGTGGAAATGTTTTGTGAAATATTCACTTTATTTATACAGGTGGTTCTTGTTATTTGTGGCTTAATAACCACAGATAACAAAGCTCTGGATAATGAGACCTTGAGAAAAACTCATGCATAAAGTACCTAAGAACATTGCAGAAGGCTTCTTCCAAACAAACCCATCTGCCCAAAACTGTGAAGAGTGACAGTCCTTGCTTACCAACCATCGCAATGCTGCTATGGTCACAGCTTGCAATTACAATGATTGCAGCGTCTCAGTCATGTGATTACTATTTGCAACCTTCCCTGCTGGTTTCCCACAAAGTCAGTGGGGAATCTGGCATGGAAAGTTGCAAGGTTGCTTTGATAAATCCCACCCCAGATTTCAACCAACCCATGCACTTCTGCCTTTGAGCTCCCTGCACTTGCGTCACATTACAGCATCTCCTCCTTCAACTTGTGTGCAGTCTGTGCATCCTTCTTAGCCCCAACCCCACCCTCCTGCAGTAACCTCGCGCTACTTACATGGGACTCCCCACCACTTCCCACTTAAAAATCCATGAACCTAGGGTTACAACGGCAATAGGAGCTTCCTTGATTGCTAATTGATGTGGTCACATGATCTCGTGCTTTATATGGCATTGCTTAACAATGGCAATTCCACACCCAATTGCCATCATAATCTGAAGACTCTCTGTACATGAAACTAGGCAGTGAGTAACAAGGTCTGGTCTTTATTTGCCAGTCGTGGATATACAAAACAATGCAATGGGACCATGATTAATGAGGCCCACCTGTAGAAATCCACAAACAGGGACGTGAAAGGTTCATAGGAATGTGGTTGCACTTGACCTTTCTTACTAATAGTGGTATCCAACTGAAGGAGAAACAACATTTAGCCAAGAAAGAAAGGCAGAAAGAAAGCTAATTAAATGTTCTTCAATACTGAAATCTGGAAAGCCTACAATTATAAAGAGTTGTAACAAATAAATCAGCTACAATCTACCTTTGATTTTCACAGAGATGGTGTTGTTTTCACCAACCAGATAGCCACAGGGTAGCAGCTCAGGCGTTTCTGTGCTATTTGTGCGAACAATTTCCCCAATGCTGTATCCCAGGACACTGTCCGAATTCAACCCAAGTTGACTCACAGGATCAACATGAATGATGTATTCCTGGGAAGAGGGAGCAAAAGAGAAAATTAACATATGGATGGGTTTGGGCTTTAAGACAAAAACTTCACGATCAAGTGGAATTCCCATTCCCGTGCTTTTCAGCAAATATTTAGGGGAAATGATTATATGCCATCAAGTCATTTTTGACTTGTAGCAACCACATAGATAGGCAGATCTCCCAATTGGTGCACTCATCACCACTGTAACTGAATCCATCCACCTTGGTCATCCTCTTCCTCTCTTCCTCTCTTTCTTTCCATCTTTCCCAGCATTAGAGCCTTTTCCAGAGAGCCAGGTCTTCTCATACTGTGTCTGAAGTAGGATAATTTGAGCCTGATCATTTGTGCCTCAAGGTGAAAATTCTGGACCAATTTATTCAATGATACATCGGTTTGTCTTCTTGACTATCCACTATATTCTCAAGAATCTTCTCCAACACCAATGTTCAAAGGCATCAATTCTTTTCCTATCCTGCTTCTTTAAAGTCCAACTTTCACTTTCACAGGGTATACCACAGCTTGCACAATTGTGGTCTTTGTAAACATAAACACATTACGGCATTTGAAAGTTTTTTTCCAAGGTCTTCATTACTGTTCTACAAAGTGCTAGTTTGTGGCGTATTGCTTGACTGCTTGTTCCTTTACTGTTGATGGTTGATCCTAAAAGGCAGAAGCTATTGTCATTGTGACAAATATTTCCCTGTCATTAGGACTATGCAAAATCTTCTGAGTGTAAAATATTCCATGTTTAGAATGGCTGGTTTAATTATTTCAAATCCTGAGAATAGTAATCTCTGTATATTCACCTGATTTGATGGTCTATTGTCCAGGTAGGTAGTGAAGCAAAGGTTGATGCATTCCATGAGTAATTTTCTATTTAGCCATATTGTCAAATGCAATTGTGCATAGTGCATATTGATTAAAAAGTGGTTGTTATACATTTAAGCTCACAGGCTCCCATAAAAAAAACTATGTTGTTTTGTTTGCTGAATTTGGGAGAAAGATTGCAGAATACAGAAGTGCGTATGTGCATTAGGAAGAAATTTCAAACCTACAACTAAAGAAGTATATTTTTATGAAAAATATATTATTTGTAGGATGGGCTTAATTAACCCATCGCTCCTGGGATTTTTGATTGACTTAGGTTCTGGGGCTATATTGCACAAGCATTATAGCAAAAATGGACAATCAATCGCATTAAGAATGACTAGTGATTTCCCCAATTTCTTCAAAACTTTCAATCAAGAAGTTTAATTAGGCATTGTTACCAAACGTAGTGCTATGTGCCAATTTGTTTACAGCCTTGTCAACTGCAATTTTTGTAGTTTAATTGTACCAAATTGTAGTGCCCAGGTAGAAAGTAGAACCCAAGGTCTTCAGATTAGATTGGATTGCCAACCCTACTCAAGCTCCAAATGTGGAAGAAGGCAATGGCAAATTCTAGAAGAATGAAGTACATTGTTCTAGAACTATTTCAGTCAGAGTTTGGTCCTGAAATTGTCTTGGTTGTTCTGCTTGATGATCTTTGCTGACAGGCAAACTTGGTTTTCAATATCAAATCATCTCAGGTATAATAAACTAGTTCTTAAATACACTCTGAGATAAGCTGTGGTTCTCAAAATCTTCTACAATTAATAACTGCTTACTTACCAACAAAAAAATCCTAAGTTTTCTTTTAGGTCTTAATCAAATAAATTATATATAAAAAACACTGAGATAGCTTTCAAAATATGGCATTGTTAGAAAAAATATCAATATAACATTATTTACCTTAAATAGTCTTCTAACAACGCCATCAAGAACATCCCATTTGGTTTTTCCACTGACTCCTATGCAGCCAATTAGGAATAAGCGAGGCCTAGAATCCTAAATAAAATTTAAGTCTATTAAAAGAAAGGTGTTCAATGCTCAGCTCCACTCAGTCACCCTGACTCCACCCCAATGGAAGGTATTACAGGGTTGTAAAAAGGAAAAAAAAAGAAATGTGTTCAAATAAATAGTTCAATAATTCACAATATTTTACTATGGTCCAGCAGCATTGCTCCACAATCTTTAACCAAAATTATTCCAAAATATACTCTTAAAGTTGCAAGACCTTTATATCAGATACTAACTATAATGGAGAAAGATATTTTTTATTTGCAAACAATATTGCACAATTTCTTGTGTAATTTTACATATCTTTGGATCTCTCTTGTTCAATAGTTCACATGACACTGTCCAAGCATCCTTCTCTATATTCTTTATATCTATCTTTATATCTATTCTCTAGATATTCTTTATATCTTCTAAAATCAAGAAACTGGGATACATCAAAATTAGCATTTTATTGAGGCTGAAACATCAGAGTAGGATAATTTTTTTTCTTAGATTGAAATCACATCCAAAATAATTAATTTAGCCTAAAACAAGTTCTACTAACAGAAAAAGAAAAGCCCTTTGCCCCTTGCTCTACATCTGATGTAGGTGTTGAATCGCTTTCCTCCCAAATACTTTAAATTACTTTAAAACTAGAAAAGAGGAAAGCCAGAGGACATTTTTCAATATGTACAAGACAGAGCTTGAAAATATTTCCCCTCGAAGCTAGGTTCAGTTTCCCTATTTATTTATTCTAAATTCCTAACGCACTAAGAGGTCTGGACTTCACAACAGTTGTTACCACAATCATGGCTGCTGGCATTAAGTCTGGAGTAGAAGTTCAAGCATAATCATACATCAGGAGCAGCAATGAAATAAGGTACAAGGGGTAAAAAAAACCCATATGCTAGGAGAACCCAAGTCAGAACTCATCTTTTCAGCACTGAAGCACTTCTGCAATTACAACATGACCTTTCCTTGCACAGCTTTTGAAAACTAAGATTAGTTTTAATAAAACTCAGCATTCTCAATTTCAATTTATGGAGGTCACGTAGCATGAGAAAGGTGACAGTGCATTCAAGAGGTACTTGAACAATGTGCTGACATATTCTCTCTTTAACACCCTTCTCTAGTTATGTTTTGAGCAAGGTGGTAAATCTGGTTCAAAGGCAAAATAGGTTTTCTCAAGACCCATTTCAATTTGGTGTCAGACCTGGCTCAGAAACCACTCGTTGAGTGATTTGGGGATCCCTCAATGGAAAAACTCTGTATAATTTAAATAAACAGAGCCACAGTAACCTTATAGAGATAGTCTTCAACTTACGACCACAATTTAGCCCAAAATTTCCGTTGCTAAATAAGACAGTTGTTAAGTGAGCTTTGCTCCATTTTACTATCTTTCTTGCCACAGTTGTTAAGTGAATCATTGCAGTTGTTAAATTAATATCATGGTTAAGTGAATCACTGGCTTCTCCATTGACTTTGCTTATCAGAAGGTCACAAAAGGGATCACATGACTCTGGGACACTGCAACCGTCATAAATATGAGTCAGTTGACAAGCGTCTGAATTTGGATCCCATGACCAGGATGCTGCAATGATTGTAAGTGTGAAAACAGTCATAAGTCACTTTTTTCAGTGCCTTATAACTTTGAACAGTCACTAAACAAACTGTGGTAAGTCGAGGACTACCTGTATTTCTTAATATGATTAATCATATTAGCAAGACCAAAAATATTTCGACTCACTTCTTTCCATTTCTCTTCCTCTTGAAAGCTGACAACTATTTTAACATGCCTGCCACCTTCTTTCCGAGAAGAACCATCACTGGAGTCATCCAGCAACATATCTGTTGGTAGGAAACACAGATTCTGTCTTCAAATATTGGAAGTTATTTTTGATTTGGTTTTGGAAATTCTGACATGCATCATGTCCTAGTTATGACTGCTACTATATGGACTAGAAATGTGTTTATAAAAGAAAGCTGAGGTTCACATGCTGTTTAAAATGTCAGCTTTTGTATTTTGAAAATTATGAAGCACACTTTGAACAAATGAAAACCCCCCTAACAACTGGGAATAGTTACATAAGAAACAAAGATCACATAAATATTAACACAAAGTTTTCTTTTTAAAAAAAACAAAACCCTGTAACTCTACTAAATGTTTGCAATCAGATCACTGAATGTGGTTTATTTTACCTGAGGTCATAACTACAATGCTGTGTTTATATTACATTTCAGCTTATAGAAGAACTAACTCTGTTACAGGAGAAAGATTGACTATTCCCGTTCTTCCACTTTAACATCTTATCTATTAATTGAATTCACTGCTACAGGAGAAAACCTGCCCACTGACTTTCTTACATACTCACCAAGACTAGCTGACTCTGTGAGGTTCAGACTGTGCTGTGACAGACCCATAGATTGCCTTGGAGACGATGAAATGAAAACTTGAGATTGGGCTCTACTACAGGTGCCTTGGTTTTCAGATTTCAAGCGGTCATTTTCGGCTTTCAATTTCTCAATCTCACTCTGGAGTTTTTTAAAAAAAAAACAGTAAAGGAGGAAGAAACACAAGTACTTTTTGTTATATCTGAATGTGATCAATATATCATGGAATAATAAAAACATAAAATGTAAGGTTTGGAAAGAATCATAGAGATCAGCATGTCTAAACTCCTAGGAAGTACAAACTTATGCTCCAGTATAGTCTCTAATGATGCATTTGTATTACCTGCATCTCAAGTGGAGATAGACACAATTACATACATGTACCCACACAATACGTAGCTGAGATCCTGCTTCCTTCTTTTGTACTTTCTTCATTGACCCTGTTCCAATGAACTTTTTATTTCTCACCAAAAGATAAGGTCTATCTTCTCGTCACTAGATATAGAGCAAAACTGGTGCACTATATACACACTAGAGCTCTCCAAAGTTCAAAGAAAAAAAAAACATTTGCAGTTTTTCTTCCCTTGGTTGAGCTGTGTTTTTTGTCAATCCTGCAACAAAAGTGTAGCTTTCTCAGTTAAATTATAAACCTGATTTGCAGGTGGTTAAAGATAGTGATCCCTCTCAGAAGCAAACTTGAGTAGAGTTTATTGACAACACTGAAATTATGGTTCCTCTCAGAAGATTATTTTGTTGCATTTCTATAAAATTTAAACACACAAAAACTCTCCCTGCTTTCTCCCGCTTCTCGCTCTTTTCCTCCAGCTGCACCTGAACGGAGTGGGAGGAAGTTAAAAAAAAAGAGAGGGGGGAGAAAGGGGGAAGCTCCCCCTTTTTTGTAACACCTCAGCTTCCTCTTCCTCCTCTTCCCTTTCCATCCTCTCTCTCTCTCTCTCTCTCTCTCTCTCTCTCTCTCGCTCTCTCTCTCTCTCTCACACACACACACACACACACATACACACACACACACACAAACACACTTTCTCCTCTTTCTCACCCTTTCTCTCCAGCTGCCACAGAGGCTCACATGGGCAGTTCCAGGCTGCAGCTCTGCATCCGGCATTACCACATGGCGGAGAGGGCGATGGCCGACACTCGGCTTGTGTCACCATGTGCTCCCACAGGCCGGGCATCCACCGCGCACTCCCATAGGCTGGGCATTCCACAGGCCGGGGGTGCCCTGGGGCACTAGGCTTACCGAACACCATGGCCCGAGTGAGGAAAGGCGCGGCCCGGCAAAGCAGAGCTGGATGAGGAGAGCCTGGCAAAGCGGGGCGTGGCTGGGTATGATGGGGTTAGGTTGGGAGGGGCGGGCCGGGGTGAAGCAAATGAACTGCAGCTGCTGCTGCTGCTGCGCACCATCAACCCCTAAGCACTCGCCGTTTCATGTATGTGCGCCGGGGGGGCGCCCAGCTGGGTTGGGGTGGGGCAGCGGGGGCCAGTCCCTTGCCACTTCTGGCACAGCCACGGGGGCCAAATCTGGGCCCTCCGTGAGCCGGATCCGTCCCGCAGGCCTTGTGTTTCACATGTCTGCTCTAGGGCATATAATGTTTTAATATAATTTTCCATTTTTTCCCATTTCAATTATACTTTTAAATAGTACCAAAATGTCTATTTTGGATGCAAATTTAATTGCAAATTATGCAAAATAAAAACAATAAAGATAGCAAGACAGACTTATGAAACAAAAATTCAAGAAACAAAAGAATGTATAAAAGTGCAAAACTGGATAAAGGAGGTGGCATACAATGAATCACAGTGTCTTCAGCTCTCACACATTCAGTTGAGAAAACACAAGTACAATTGTCTTGAGTAACTCAGGTCCCTGCCTTATCAGGTTCCAGAAACAGCTGCACAAGCAAACAAGCAAATCTGACTGTAGCTTTCCTCTTCAGACCTTCAAGTGAAACTTGTGGGAGTTGGGGAGAGAAAGGATAAGCTTCATGCATATTCCATCTTCTATCTACCTCCAAGCTCTTTTATGTTCGAGTAAACATCTGCAGAGTGCTAGAGAAACACACAGATGTAGGAAATGTATGTTCTCAGAGTATAATTTTATCAAAGCTTGGAAGAGTCGCAGATGCATAAAGAACCAAGCAAACAGTGTTGCTTCTGATGAACTTCTGGATGACAATTAGTGGCAACTGTAGTTTAAGGCCCTTGTATTGGCATTTGGTACATACAAAACTTCCTGTTTCAGGGACCTGATTATCTTTGCTCAATGGAAAGCATTAATAGAATACCACCAACGTCTTAACACAACAGATCTGCTTTCAGGCTCCTACCTGCATCCTGTTCATAGCTTCCCGGAGCTGATCCAGTTGATGAGCAGAACTGAGGGCCTCTAAACGGATATCAGTCAACTTCATCTCTTTGTCTCTCAGCTCATTTCGCAGCTGCATAACTGTTTCAGCTTCACTGTCAATGCATTCTGAAATTCTGGGAATTTAATTAAAAAAGAAATAAATATCAAGCTAAGATATTGGGAGGTATGAACAATGCATAGGAAAATTAAAAATTTGTTCCCTAGGTTTCAACAAAGATTTTTTTTTGACTTTATGCTAATGTTAAGATTCACAGGGCATAATTATTTGAAATTGGTATCAGCGCAAGACATAAATTTATGTATGACCTATTCTTTAGGGATGAACATTGCTTTGGAGCCAGCTGGAAGAAATGTTTTAGCACACGTTAAACACACCCACATACAACTCGTTTCCAAGACTGCACAGCCATACGGAATCTTTCCTTCAGCAGCCACACAGTCTGGGGAAAAGCTGTAACTGTTTCAATGAGTCTCACACAGGGGTATAGTATTTGCACTATTTGATCTGACCAACTGCAGCTACAGTATTTAGCTTCTGTAGATAACTTGCTGCTAGATGTATAGAGTCTGTGGAAAATCCATTTACCTTGACAATCCCAAGTACATTAAGAAGATAGAGAAGCAGCAGCAGTCACTTGGAGATTGATGGCCTTAAAGAAAGATTTAGACTCAGCAGGTGTAGTGCACAGCTGGGCCTCCCTGTATGATTCTAGAGGGCTTTGGAAACATATACCTTTTCAGACATAAAGCATTCTTTTGCACTCTCTACAGCCCAGGTTAAAAAAAAAGAAAAGGCGCCCTTTGTTTTCCTGGTGTCAGCTTTCTCTCTCACTGTTTCCTTCCTTTGCCTTACAAAACTAAATTGAATTACTTTCTCAATTCACAAAGGACCAGGAGCATCATTTGCTGGCAGTTTTTCACATACACATTTTATAAATAACTCCTGTTCACTTTTTTTAAGAAAGTAAATGTACAGCAGTCAAGAAACAACAAATCACAGTGAGAATTCTGAAGGAATCCTGGTGCATTTCAAGAATTCAGACTGAATATAACCTTGAGAATTTATTAAAATTGGCCATCAAAGGAGAGGTGAATTTTCAAGGGACCCAAATTCTCCTACTGGGGTTTAAATCCAAGCTTCAGTAGAATATGCAGCTTGCCTTTCAACATTTCTACCAGCCCTCCTCCTTTACTGATAGTGCTGCCCTTGGCCTTACCTTCCAGATCCCTTGCGTTGACACTCTGACAAACTTAGTAGCTGTGGCAACAAAATAAATGTGGGGACAAAAGCAAGCCTTTTTTCCCAACTCCTTTTCTCTTATTTTGCTTCATAGAAATTCAATTGTAAATTCAATCCTTCCTTCATATAGCAATAGCAATAGCAGTTAGATTTCTATACCACTCCATAGTGCTTTACAGCACTCTCTGAGCAGTTTATAGCATATTGCCCCCAACAATCTGCGTTCTCATTTTACCAATCTTGGAAGGATGGAAGGCTGAGTGAGCCCTGAGCTGGTCAGGATCGAACTCCTGCCTATGGGTAGAGTTAGCCTGCAATATTACTTTCTAACCACCTGTGCCACCACAGCTCTGGACTGCTGTTCCTACCACCAGTTTTGGGGAAATGTGGATTTGGTTATGTATGTAAGGGTAAAGGAAAGAAAGCTGTTTGTTGCTACAGAAATATAAACAATGAATTATGTCATAAATGTAACCTTTTTGCATCCCCCTCCTTCTCCCCATTTAAAACTACTGACAAATACTTATAACAGCTCATCTGTAATCTAAATCAAGGGTCCTTAACCCCAGGGTCGTGGTCCGGATGTCGGGCCACTGCCTGTTCGGAACCGGGCTGTGTAAATAGCTGGCGAGCATGTGTGTGAAGCTGCATTTGCTCAAGTGGCGTGCGCGTGAAACCCCCCTCCCCCCCAGCTGCCACTGGTCCACAGAGCCAGGAAGATTGGGGACTGCTGATCTAAACAATAAACTAAAGTAGCTGTTGGGAAAAAAATTCTCATCTCTTCAGTCACAATTTCAACTACTGATCTGGTAATTTGAGATATTTTGTAAGGAAGAAAGCTCCACTTTATAATTAATATACAGGGCAAATAAGGAAACAGTCAAACGTATTTCCACTTTATAGTTAGATTCAATTTCAAATATCTTACATGTACAGTATATTACTGAAAAAATCTAAACATGAAGATGTCATTTCTAAAGTTTTTTTTTAAAAAAAATATTCTTAATTTTAAAAGTGAGCTATTTGCAGAAATTTATATTTTGTGCTTCAATGCCTGGAAGTGAAAATTGCCCATTATCAAATATTGAAGATGTCAGCAACGTTTTGTTCAACTGCTGTTTGCAACTACAGTACGAAAAGTGATATAGGGATTTTATCAGCTGGGAAGAATAATGATGCAAAGAAGTTAAAAATGATTGAATTTACTTTAGCCTTGAAGTAGTTTAAGTGAGAGAAATGACACAAAGAGAGAAATACATGCACATATTCATCCCTGAAATAACAAGGAGAAAATCTTAATAAAATATTGCAGCAATTTCTTCATAAGTTGAATGAAGTTTTAAAACTGAGGCAAATGGGGGGAGGGGGGGAATGAGGAAGCAAATACTCCAAGAGATACAAGGTCTGGAGATAAACTGATATGAAAAGCAAAGAAGTTATGATGAAGAAAATCTACTTGAACCAGACGAATCTCCAGAAAAATGAGACTTAAATTTGTTATAGTGTAATGTTACAATGTTAAAAAGAAATGCAAGTGTTTTTGCTGATGGATTCAACTTACAGGGAATTGGAATGTGAAGTTCTGAGTAATGGCGTAGATACCACTGTACCATTGTGTGGCAATTTCGGTGAAGAAGGCAATGAGCAATCTGTCATCTCCTCAATGTCGGAGTGAGAAGATGCTGATTTGGGGGACTTCTTTTTTCCAAAAGCTTGCTTGAAAGAACTGCGTAGCTGAAAAGAAAAGAGCAAAGTAAACACATAATGGATGTGAGGGAAAATGCTTTATGACAATAAAGAACAAAAGAGAGAAGAGCTAACATGCGACACTTAAAATAAAAGGTTACCAAGTCATTCCATTTGGTAGCAGTGCAAACTTAACAACAGAAATAATTCCTTCCTAATTCTTTCCTCTGAGTTGCTTTGCTAATGAGTGCTGGTAATGACAAGTGCTGTTTGGAAGCATTCTCCCACCTCCCACCTTTTTTTTTTTTTAATAAACAAGACCTACTCCAACCTCTTTTTATCCCAAGGGTTGTTTTATTAAGATGTTATGAGAGGCTGCAGTTATGAGGTGACATGGCTCAGACAGACACTGATGCAGATACAGTTAATGGATGAGTTAGCTTATTTAAGATATATCTTCCTTACCTCATTGACCTGCCACAGGAAGTGCAAGCAGAAAGGGAAGGGGAAGGAAAAAAAGACAAGTTTTAACAGATAAAGCCAAAGACAGGGAAAGCACTGGATTGCTCAGACAAATATTACCCCTCTGCTCCCACAAAGCGGACACAAATAATTACACTACCATAGTCAATTTTTTTCTTTCCTTTTAATGTATGACCGGGATGTTTTTGTACACCTAAATAGTTGACATATGGGTTATTGTTTAAATGTATACAGTTATCTGAACTTCACTAAATCCAGAAAAAGGATGATAAATACATTTTTACCTAAAAGCTCTCTTATTTTTTCCTCAAGAGTGATTAACTATGGTCTTGGGAGGATTTATATAAATGATTGGAGATCCTGATAAGGTTATGACATGATATGTTCAAAGTTGTAACCGTGATGTGTCCCTCACCCACCATTAGTTTAATACACTAATCTATAATATGTCTAGAACAGACATATCAAACTCGCGATGTCACGTGACGTCGCGCAATGTATCGGAACTTTTTTCCCATTGCTGGCAATGGGTGCGGTTTCCTCGTTATGCGTCCAGCCCACGGGCCGGCAGTTTGACACCCCTGGTCTAGAAGAACAAACCTGATCTCCTCCACATGTTGAAAAGTGTTATGGTGCAGGAAAAACAGATCTTAATATTATGCTTAGCAAAATTAGGCCTACATACAGTATGTATCTTTTCCATTTTGCCTCCTCAACCATTATGGAAGTTATTCTCTGCTCTAGAATATAAACATTTTATTTGATGTCCTTAAATTTAAGGAAAAGACTCTTTGGTAAAAACAACTTCAGACAATCCTAAAATCTCCAGATCGAGGGCCAAGGGAGATTACCACATGATCTGGTGGTAAAGTGTCTTCAAGTTATCAAAAACAGACTTTTAGTATAACTATTTTGAAGGCCAAAATATGTTGAAAAATTAGTGAGCTAAATAATTTCTGCAATAATGTTAGTTTTCAATTATTGTTTGGATTTTTAAATTCATTTGGGATAGTGCATGGTTTATTTGGACACAACTCAGAATCTGACCATTTAGATAGACTGTAGGAAGTAAGAGCTTTAGTTCAAACAACAAGTACTTCTAGCACAAGGGACTTTGCATAATAGAAATCATGACCAATGAAGAAACAGGATTTAAAAATATTACAAAGTAGCTTCTCCATCACAAGTTAAGTTTAATGATAAATATTTTGGCTTCACAATTTACAACAATAGCTAAAACGGGCTCCATGGGAATAATAAATGTAACTAATACTTGCTCAAAAGTTGAACTTTATTCAATACACAGATATTAGTTTTGTCTTATCAGCTAACACAGTGTGTGTTACATAACATACAATGAAGCCACAAAAATAATCACAAAATTAAAATGACCAAAATATCATAAAATCTTAAAATCTCAGGAGATTCCTGTATTTTTGGGGCAAGGTCATCAATATCATTCATGAGATTTTGGAATTAAAACAGAAAAATTCTTGCAAGATTTAGCAATTTTTTAAATTTTGTGTTTTTTCATAGATTATAATTAATAACTTTGTGGATAGCTGTCATTATACAAAATTGCACGGTATCCACTACCTGAAAAGACTGTTAGCTTTTGTCTAATTGCTAAACATTTTATCTCAATCATGACTACAAATTGCAATTTGTGTGCTAAATTATATCAACTGATTTACATTTAAAGCAAACGTAGACAACCCATGACCCATTAGGTTGTCCTCTCACATACTGTATGTCTTAAACACAGAGTGCTAATCCAAACCTGCTGCCATGTTTCCGTCAGCTGCTATTTTGTGATCCCCACTGACTTTTTCCCTACAAGCTTCCCAGGCTTTCCTATTAATTTGTGGCAAGGTGTCAGGAATGGTGTAAATGAGGATCAGAAGACCATGGTCGAGCGGTAACAGTACCGTGTCATTTCCATAGATGTAACGGCAAGAACCTTCCAAAATATTATTCCTATGGGAGTAACAGGTCCCAACATTCTGTAGGTTAGCCAATTTGAAGTATTTATTTTTTTATTTGTACCCCACCTTTATTATTTTTACAAATAATTCAAGGTGGCAAACATATCCAACACAACTTCCTCCTCCTATTTTCCCCCACTACAACAACCCTGTGAGGTAAGTTGGGCTGAGAGTGACTGGTCCAAGGTCACCCAGCTGGCTTTCATGGCTGAGGCGGGACTAGAATTTGCAGTCTCCCAGTTTCTAGCTAGCCACTACAAGACCAAACAGGCTCTCTTGTGTTTTGGTTGGAAATATTTTGACCTACGTCAGCGGTCCCCAATCTTTCTGGCTCGGCAGAACGATGGAGGTGGCGGTGGCAAGGGAGGGGGGAGAGCAGATGGTTTTGCATGCGCCGCTTTCACAAATGCAGGTTTGTGTGGACGCACACATTCTTCCACCATTTCCACGGCCCAGTTCTGAACAGGCTGTGGGCCACGGACTGGGGATTGGGGACCCCTGTCCTATGACACACCATTTCACCCAGTTAAAGGTTACAGATATGAGAGCTTTAGTTGTATATATATTTCTTCTGTAACAGAAATGTGATTTTTGGATCTCTGTGCCTGGGTAACTCTTGTAAAATATGTTACAAAAACTAAGATTTTCAACTTACATATTCTTTAGATTGCTTGCCCCTTTGTCACCCTTCCAAGCACAATTTATCTGGAACAATATACAGGCATACGAGAGCCTGTTTGGTTTAGTGGTTAAGGCGCCAGGCTAGAAAGCCAGAGACTCTAAGCTCTAGTTCTGTCTTAGCCATGAAAGCCAGCTGACCTTGGGTCAGTCACTCTCAGCCCAACTTACCTCACAGGGTTGTTGTGGGGAAAATAGGAAGAGAAAGATGTGTTGGATATTTTTGCCACCTTGTTATTTATAAAAACAATAAAGGCAGGATACAAAGAAATAATAATGAAGTGTGTGATTGTGTGTTTAACTCTTCCTTCACACACTTTGCCAGTAAAATAGGTTGTCTCCTGTAGGCTGCTTTTGGCCATGCTATGTAAAATACTACATGATTGCAAAAAAATAAAAGGAAACCCCCAGATCAGAGATCCAATTCTGCCCCCCACCCCAGTCCTCATGAGACACAGTAAAAATATCCACAGGTAGTCCTCGACTTACAACCACAATTAACCCCAACATTTCTGTTACTAAGCAAGACTGCTGCCCCATTTTGTGACCTTTCTTGCCACAGTTGTTAAATGAATCACTGTAGTTGTTAAGTTAGTAACACGGGTGCAAAATGAATCTGGCCTCCCCATTGACTTTGCTCAGAAGATTGCAAAAAGGGATCACATGACCCCAGGACACTGCCACCATCATAAATATGAATCAGTTGCCAAGCACCTGAACTTTGATCATGTGACCATGGGGATGCTGCAGCAGTCATAAGCGTGAAAAATGGTTGTAAGTTTTTTTCAGTGCCATTGTAAGCTTTGAACGGTCACTAAATGAACTGTTGTAAGTCGAGGTCTTCCTGTAATGAATGACTCTAATACAGGGGTGTCAAACTGCCGGCCCACCGGCCACATGCATCATGGCGAAACCGTGCCCACCCCATTGCCGGCAATGGGAAAAAAAGTCACGATATGTTACATGACGTTGCGAGTTTGACACCCCTGCTCTAATCTATCATCACAGCTCAGGACAATCTTTTACTATTTGGCTCCTTATGTAAGACGCTTTGGTATATTCAAGGAAACACGCTTTATTCACTGGAAGACATTATTCAAACATACCCAGTTTTTTCTCTTCTTTTTCTTAGAATCACACTCTATATTGCTTCCCACACTGGAATGACTAGTAGCACTGTTAATGCTAGAGACGCTGTCTGAAGAATGTTGTCTTCTGATCCGCAAGTCAGTGGTCTGGGTACTTCCACCACTTCCTAAATATTAATTTAAACATGCTTATAGACATTTGGACATAACATTTGCCCTTTCTCCTCTACTCCATATGTTTTCTATTGCTGCATCTTATTGCCTTCTGCAATCCTTATTGTTTATATATTTTCCCCCCATAAACAATCCAAAGAGCTAGGAGTTTTACACTGTACTTTTTCAACTGACATTTCTTTTATTACACTTAACTCGGTTTCTCATCCATAATTATCTATGACAGACAGTAGTGGTAAGGGGATGATGTCATTGGAAAAAGAAGAGGCTTTCAGAGGCATCTACAGCTAACCACAGTAAGTCTGAAATGACGAAATGTACTCTGTGATATCATAACACAAGTTCATCCCTTTTGTTCTTGGGTCCTACGGTCACATGCAAGAGGTGGAATTTGCGTTGTTACACACTGTTTCTCACCTGCCTGCCATTTCACACCATGGAATCACAGGCGTTAGACTAGAAAAACAGCACTAATTAAGGAGAATGAAAAAACCAGACCAATTCTGAACATTGTGTAAGATTATCATAGCAATGAAAGGACAAATGGCAATGCCCATGAAAGACTGCAGTATAACAGGCAGGCAGGTAAGCATGGCAAAGAGTGGGAAGACAATTTGTAATTATCTCCACCTTTTGTTTTTCTTTTTGCAGATATTTGTAGTTTTGATCAAGCTTACACTGTCTGGTATTAGTGCAGTTCATGTACAGTATCTGAATACTGTTTACTATAAAACTATAGCTGTTGGGTTGTTGTTTTTTAAAAATCTATAACTACTTAAAACTATGGTATGCTAATAATAATGTCATACTTTTAACTATTAAATAATTCAGCTATTCTTTTTAGTGTTAAAAGGATTAGGGGGGGAAATTAAAGATAATTTAAACATATATTATAACTACACTCAACTTTTTATATCCTGATTTTGGTTTGTTGATTTTGGTTAGCCACCTTAGTGCTCAGCAGGGTATGATATAATATATACAAAAATATAACATCTGATTATTGACAAATACAGGCTTCCTATTTCATGAGAGACTCTTTCAAGATTGTTTGATAATTATCTGTCTCTAGGAAAGAACTTTGCATCAGCTATTATCAAGAGGCTGAAATGTCCTCCGAGTGCTACCTTGTTATTGAAAGTAAAGATTGTATTTGGGATTCTTTACCTTTGCAGGTGAGCTCAGGTGTGTTAATTACTCCATTAATGGCAGCCTGAGCAGCAGCATTTTGTTTTTTCAGTAATTCAATTGTTTTCCTTAACTCATTCAATTCAGAATCCTGAAGCATGAAGAAAACAAGCATAAAAAAAACACACACTGAAGGTTTCAATAAGTACAATCAATTAGCTGGAAAAATGTTTTAACACTCTGGTAAATCTGCAGCTGGTCTCTGAGCAACAAGCCAGCTTAACATCTTTCCAAATAGTCAGGGATTGTTGGTATTTTGATCTGACTGATCAGGTACGACTAGAGAGTAATAAAGTACAGTTCTCATTTCACAGAAACAATTCAATTTTACACTTATAAACTGTGTTGATGAGAAGGCATTGATGGTAAAGCTTTATTCAATTTTAGATGCTTTAACCAAAACTACGGCTTCTAAATGTATTGGAGAACAGTCACCTATTCACTAGCCTTTCTTAAATTCCGTGGGACTTGACATCTCAGCTGACAAGTCTAGGATTGCACAATTAGATGATTCTATTATCCCAAATGGCATCAAAGGGAAAAAAATGTAACACTAAAATTATCTAAAGACTCAGTTCTGAATACATATATTTTTTATGTTTACTTTTATGATAGGTCTACTGTTCTACAGAAAATATTCTTGATTTAGATTTAAAACATAGTAGATAGAAAATATGAGAAATGTATTATTTATAGCTAGGATTGTTTCTATAGATATAGAAAAACGCAATACAATTGTAATATTGCCCGGATGGAATCATTTAGTGTTGTTGTACTGTATTTCAGACCTAAACCTATCTCCCTTTATGTAAACTTTTTAAATAAGAAACCATCTGGAAACTGTAAGCTATTTGGCTACAGTTGAATGGGATGCAACTGAAACTGAAAGATATTTTTGGCTTTATTATTAGTCTAATATTTTTGCTTACTCTCTAATGTACATAAGTCCTGAAATGCTAATTTTCTAGAATTGAAGAGAGAATGTCAAGAAAATGTGGATTGTAAAAAAACTCTGTGAATGGTAATTAGAAACCTGGGCTGACATGAATAGCTCAGATAAATGGTCAACAATCTCTTACATTCTTTCTTCCGGGAAAGTTTTATACATTGATTACTGGCAAAAGAGAAAATCAGAATGCTGGCATGTGCTGAGGAAAGTTTTACTTTGCTTGCTAAGTTGATCTCAAAGTCATCCCTTACAATGAACTCAATTTCAAAACATCAATTTTGGAATCATTATTCGTGGAAAATAAATAAGGGAATGTCAAACTTGCCTTCTGTTCTGCAGTCATGGTGAGACTTTGCAGTCTAATGGTCATGTTTCCTAGGCTCTGCTCAAATGCTGCCACAAGGTGAGCCTGTAAATTAAATTATAGGATCCAGTTGATTGTGAGCTTATCTGCTTTAAAAAAAATGTAAAATACTGCACAGCATACTTGATAATCCACAGATGGATCCACTCTGCTGCAATTGTGATTTACAAACCCAATATAGACACTTGAGATGTGGGAACAAAATCAAATAGCTCAATACCAACTAACTATACACCTCTTGAATGGATAGCACTAATAACCAAGGAACAAGGAACAACTTTCCACAATTCCTTATTTAGAGCTGTGGCACCTGTTCCAACTAATAAGAGCTTCACATTATGCTGTTGCATAGTTAGAGATCAATGCAGGGTGCTAATACTAGGTCTGATATATACATACATCTCTGAAACAATGTCTAAAGCCAGGGGTAGGCAACCTTGGCTCTTTTATGACTCGTGGACTTCAACTCTCAGAATTCCTGAGCCAGTCGGCTCAGGAATTCTGGGAGTTGAAGTCCACGAGTCATAAAAGAGCCAAGGTTGCCTACCCCTGTCTAAAGCAATGTTTCTCAAACTTAGAAATTTTAAGGTGGTACCAACAGAACAGTGGGCTAAGAACTACACAATTTAAACTCCACAAGAAATATGAACGTTAGTTCCCAGAATTGCCCAGCCAGCATGGTTGGCTGGAGAATTCCTGGAATTGAAATCTACACTTTGAGAGAAACACTAGAATGGCAGCTTTTTCCTCTAACCCAGTTCTTTTTTTTAATGATTATGTGGTATAGTAAGTTTTCTGCAATTACCCATCAGCATCTGTCCTCACATTTACAGTGAAAACAACCATAAAGAAGATGGAAACATTGGGATATGTGGCTTTAACTTCTGTCCGCTGCTGTAAAAACAAACTAGACTGAGACTGTGAGAAAAATGGCAGAAAACAAAACAAGCTTAGCACAGAGTACAAGTATTATACAGCTAAAATGTTTATTTAAAAATACTGGAGCGAATCATTCTTGTTTGAAAAAAAATGTGCCAACTATATCAAATACTCTCAAAGGTTTTCATTTCAAAATGAAATGGGGGGGGGAGCTTTTAAGATAAAATCAAATTTCTGACTTTTGTGATGTGAAGCCAAAAAATTGTTTACTATTGGGCAATTATTCCATCTGTCCTTTTTTTCTTTAAAAAAGACAAGATATTAATTACACCTTTGAATAGTAGCAACCTTAATAAAATATTCCTACATATATACTATGGCTAAGCCTTACACCTAAGTATTTCATAGCAAAATAGCAGTGAGTCATCTCTGCTTGGTGTACTGCTTCCCAACTTTAGCAATTTTCGGATATGTGGCACTCATACCCCAGAATTCTATGGTCAGTATGGCCCCTAATGAGAATTCTGGGAGTTGAAGTCCATACACTTAGAAATTGCTAAGGTTGGAAAACACTGGTTTAGTGCATGAGAGGAATGTTAAATTCATGGTAAATATTCATCAAAATAGCATTAGTTGCAATATTTTCCCCACATTTAGCCAACCTGAGTGCTATATACATACTTGGGGGGCAGGATATATATTTAGAAACACATCTTTTTGGATGAGTTGGTTCCAAACTATTTTATAGACAAACTCTTAGGTGACATAAATTCAGATCTTATTCAACAGCTGTGCCAGCTTGATCAAAACCCTAGTCATATATGGAATGTCAAACACTTTTTTTTGTGAAAGAAAAGTCATGTGAACAAGCTAATTTTACAGAAATATAGTATTGCACTGAATGTTCCCTGGTCATTTCAGGAAAAGAAGCTAAGTCATCCATTAAGAAAAAAGATTGATTTCTTCCATTACAAAGAAAGGAAGAAAAAAAGAGAAAAGCTGATCCCCAAATTTTCATGTTTGGAATTACAACAATTGCAATGCATGCCAACATTTAAGATTAAAGTCAACACACAGAAACATGTACATTACAAAAATACAGGCTTCATACTGCCTAAACATTTGTAGATCCTGACATGTTGCCACATACTAGCTTCCCAAAAGATATTTGTTTCTTCAAAACAATGAGCAACTACCATAATGCAAAAAATCTAAAATGAATGTTTTTAGTCACTGAAGCAAGTTCTTCCTTTCTTTTACAAAGATATCTATCTAAAGCTATATAATATTTTAGATCAGACATGTCAAACTCGCGACATCACATGACGTCGCGCGATGTATCGGAACTTTTTCCCCATTGCCGGCAATGGGGTGGGCGCGGTTTCCTCCTGACACGTCCGGAGTGCGGACCGGCAGTTTGACACCCCTGTTTTAGATCATTTTTTTTAAACCATTCATTATCAGTTTCTGTCTCTCTGAACTGTACTCACGTTGGCAGTCAACTGGGTTGTCAGAGCTGAAACTTTCTCCTGGGATGCATCCAATTCCCTCCTTAGCTTGCGAATCTAAACATTATATTTCAAAATATAATGTTTTGTTTAACAAGATCTTCAACACACACACACCCTATATAACTTCTGGACAATTTTGAAGACACAATATTGGCACAGTTATAATGAAACCCATCATCATTGGCTCAACTACTGCAAATAATGCCTTTGGCACTATGGCATCGATTTTGTACAGCTGATTTCTACTGTTATTTATTCTGTTGGTAATCGTTGTTTTCCATTTACTTTACTAACTTGGTTCAGACACAATGATGGACTAAGATGTATTTATTTGTTTTGGACTAAATGTGACTTGTTATTTATAAAACTGCTATTGCTTAAACAATTGCTTAAACAAACTATGATGGTTTTAGCAGTGTACTCCATTTACTAATTTGAAGACTTGTTTTAACTTTTATGGAGATATATTGTCCTTTTGTTAGCTGCTTTCAGAAATATTTGATCAGAGAAAGAGATACAGATGAAAAGTCTAGTTTTCTAAATACTGGGTAAATATTACCTAAGTATTAGCAAACTGCACTTATAGATCTTCTTAAAAGTTTACATAGGAATGTAGCCAGCAAAAAGATTAATTATTATGATTCAACGTTATTCGGGTTAAATTACATCATGCACTAGATTAATAGTATTTTTTGCTGGGTATTTTAAACAGAAAATATAGTAAAGAAATACGGTACTTAATTCTACATATAACAACGGCAGCAAGAATAGCATACACACAGTTCTGGAAAAATGAGAATATACCATCAGGGGAAGAAGTGATAAGAAAAATCCTGGACTGTGCTGAGATGGACAAATTAACAAAAGAGATAAAAGAAAAGGAAGACACAGAGTACTATCTAATATGGAACAAGTGGTATGACTGCTTGGAGACTAGAAATAATAGAGGAGAATAAAGGTGGAAAGGTCAAAAGTGGAAAATGTGTGTATAATAAAAACAACGGGACAACAAGGACAAATATTCTAAAGAAGAATAAGGGGGGAAAATGTAAATAATAGAAGATTACCATTACGAAATTGCTGTTAAAAAAAAAGGGAGGAGTATACACTGTGTGTGTATGTGTGTTATGTTTTGTTTTGTTGGTTTAAAAAATAAAAAAATATTAAATAAAAAAAATAGTATTACTCTCAATTCATTCAATTCAATATGCACTGCCTATCAGCAAACAACTGTCCAGGAGTTCTCCACACTCATTCTTTATATAAAATGCAAAAATAACATCCAAACAATATTTCCACCCACTAATGCTAGGCCCACGTGGTTCAGCTCAGATAACAGGATACAGAGCAAAATTTATTGAGCATTTGAAAAATGAGCATATTCAAACAAAAGAAAAGAATGATACAAATATTACACTGCTGGAGATGTCTCTCTTCACAAGTTACTGATAAATATAACCAGGTGCTTAACTGCAGTATGCTGCTTAACTGCTGGTGATTCTTAAAAGATAGTTTGCTTAAATTTTTGAAGGAGGAAGGAGGGAGGAAGAAGGTTGACGAAGTTTCCAGCAGGGAAAAGATTATAACAACAAGCCAGGACTGAACAAATCTACAGCGGGTTATGAACTTTTTAGTTGTAATAGTCATTTTGAACAAGAATATATTTTAAGTCAAAGCCAACTACATATGTGATGAAGGATCAACAGCAATGAATATAAATATGCAAGAATGTTTTGGATATAATCCAGTCCATTCCTGTAGCTGAAGCATTGGTACATGCAGTAATTCAATGTGTACAGCACAATACACATTGGAAGGTATGCCAATAAAGTTAGTGAAAGAGATTTATATTAAGAGAATTAATAAATACTTTAAGAAGCCACTATATTAGCCTCACTGATTTTTAAAAAAATGAAATATCATATCCAATTATCTAAACATTTAAAATGAGACCTGTCACTGAGTTTAGTAATTTTAAGAAAAACAAAATCCTCCTTACCTCTGACTGACATTTTTCTTCAGGCTATGGGGGAAAAAAATGAGATTCTTATTTGAAACGTCCATTTAACTGTTCTGCCTACCAATAATCTGTCATTCAAAACACTTCACCTCATTTGAGTTCAAAACAACTTTTATTCAGCTATGTGATAAAAAGGTTGTCCAAACCATATATTAATTTTATTAATGTACCATTTAATAATATTTGTGATGTGCAGTTCTTATATGAAAATAGAAACATTAAAGTATTATTATAAATAATATTATTGCATTCTATTCCATAATGTCAGTAAATGCAGCAGTCACAATTTTTTAAAAAAATACTCTTAGAATTTTTTTTCCCTGATGTACAAAAAACTTGAGTTCATTGTTTTTTGTCTTTCCTGCTAAGCTGTTCCACGATGTGTTATAGGAGTTAGGGCTTAAAATTTAACAAAAAGAAATACTGATTTCATTGATTATTTTCTGTTCCAATTCTGTAGTTACAGATAGCTGTACTAATGAATACAGGAGCTTATCATATGGGACACGTTCCTCTTGATTGGTGGCAAATTATGTTAGGCTGCTGGCCAATTAGCAATGTGTACTTCTCTTAAAGAGCACTTTTTGTAAGCTAAAGACATCCACTTTTCACTAGGTAATGTTTTATTTGAAACTGCTATATTACATAAAACAAATAGAAGAGCTTATGTAGTTCCCTATGTGACTTCTGCTTTGATAGTTCTAAGTCCAAGGGGACTTGGATTCAGTAATTTGTCAGCCACAGTTTCCCCATCCACTGATTTCATAGGATTTTCATCCATCTTATAGAAATCAAAGGATAGGAATACAACAAAGCATGGAAGTTCCTTGAGGGAACAATTATTCCATTCCTTGTTCTAGTTTGAGCTCTACGGCAGGGTTCTTCAAACTTGGCCCTTTTATGACTTGTGGACTTCAACTCCCAGAATTCCTCAGCCAGGCATGCCTGGCTAAGGAATTCTGGGAGTTGAAGTCCACAAGTCATAAAAGGGCCAAGTTTGAAGAACCCTGACCTAATCCAATACATAATTTAATTGGGACTTCTACTCCCTGAATATAGGTTAGGAATTCCAGAATCTTCAACATGGCTGGAACACACTAGCTGAGAAATACCACATTGGGGGGTTGTTACAGAGTTAAAGTAAAACTGAGGAGTCAAATCTAGTCTCACTTTATAGTTTGAGCAAATCCTTCTCTCTCAGTCCAACCTACGCTGGCTGAGGAATTCTGGGAGTTGAAGTCCACAAGTCATAAAAGGGCCAAGTCTGAAGACCCCTGCTCTAGAGTCTATAGTTCTATTTAATGAACTAAATTTGTTACATCATCATCATCATCATCATCATCATCATCATCATTATTATTATTATTATTTTGCTGCCAACTTCATACAGACTGATTGTGGTTAAGACACTCACCGTTGAGTAAATAGACGATGTGCTTGACACCAAAGATAGAGATGAACCATGCACTATAGGAAAGATAAGTAAACCAATTAGCCATTGTATTTTTGTGTATATATGATAAGTAACAACAGCAGATTATTACAGATGCAGTATACATACTACGGATGTTCGTAAGGGCTACACATTTCATCAGCAGCCTATTTAAAAATTGCATCACCAGTCATGAACGTATTTACTGAACATAAATCTTTGCAGACGAATCAGAAGGTAAGCTGAAATAAATGGAAGCATTATACAGACCGTAGCTCAAAATGATCTCAAAAAAATCAAGCTTTTAAAAAAATCATTATTTGGATGTAAATATTTGCCTGCCTGCTGTATTTCAAACATTGCAAGGTTATGATAGTGCATGGAAAATGGAACAGAAGATGATGAGAAGCAGACAAAGTAAAGGTTCAACTGACCAGTCCAGTTTCACCATATTGTCGGCCTGAAGCATAAACAGTAAAAGGGAGTTAAAAGATTTCGTAAATAAAGGAGATTGAATATTTGGTGTGACTAGTTTAGGTAAAGACTCATTTAATTGTAAGTCAGCAATGTAAGAGAAAGTACATTGGAATATATTTTGATATTTCCTAAAGGGGAAAAAAAACCTAGGAAAAAATACATTTTTGTCAAATATATTCACAAAATGATTTACAAAATAGTTTTAAAATATTAATATAGAAATTTATTTATTTACACTTAAAAAACAAATAGAATTATTTAAAATAAATTCATCTAGCTTTGGTATCAAAAGCTATTCATAGCTAAATGGCACCCAAACTCTGTATATATATCTACAGTTGAAAATACATTGTATTATTTTCCAGAAACACTTTCTATATTATTGCTTTCAAAATGGCTAATCCCCCAGTCCTTAAAGAATAAAGCTAGCTGTTTAACAGGCAAGATGACATTTTCTTTCTATATTAGTCCTCAAAAATCTTTATATTGCCAAGAAGCAGAGAGTACAATGGACTCCTAGATCTGATTCAATGTAGAATGGCAGACCATTTTGTAGAATAATTATTATACATATTTCATTTGTTATATTTTTCCTTTTCTTTCTTTTATTAAATTTATAGTTCTCATAGAATGCAAATTTCCCAAGAAATTCACATATTTCCATCTAAAACATATATTCATGGTTCCTGTAATTGTGTAAAATGGTAAAAAAGAATTGTTCTGATCCATAAAGGTCACAAACATAAAATTTAAGGACTATACTAAGAAAAGTCTGGTCTTAAATTAGGCAATTAAAATCTCAATTTATTTTTGAACCTTCACAATATTTTTTTACCTCTAACAAAAACCAGACCTGGTTAATCCACCAACTGGTCACCCAAGTGCTGAGCTCAGTGAACAAAATATCAAGAGTCAGCAAAAAATAGTCTTTTGTTCCACAGCTAGTTTCAAGATCTTGAAAATCTTGAAAATCTACTTTTTTTTCCAAGTGAAATCATTACCCTAATACTAGGCACAACCAATTCACATTCATTTGATAGTAGAAAAAACAAGACTGGGAAGAGAAAGATCACTAACCTAGGAAATTCCATTACTGAACTTCAGTCAGTAAGCCAGATAAGTGGGAAGTGGGAATTACTGTTTTATGTGCCTAACTCAATATTAGAATAGAGCTGGAAGGGACCTTGCAGGTCTTCTAGTCCAGCCCCCCGCTTAAGCAGGAGAACCTACACCATCTCAGACAAGTGACTGTCTAGCCTTTTCTTAAAAATCTCCAGTGATGGAGCGCCCACGATTTCTGGAGGCAAGCTGTTCCACTGGTTAATTGTCCTCACTGTCAGGAAGTTTCTCCTTAATTCTACGTTGCTTCTCTCATTCAGTTTCCAACTACTGTTTCTTGTCCTGTCCTCTGGTGCTTTGGAGATATTCCTATCCAGGCCTTTTCTATGCTACTTAGGTGCTTCTGTTTTTTAAATGCCAAGAGTCTTTGCTCCCTCTCACCTTTACTGTTAGGAAGAGTAAAGGCAACTTAGAGGATGTTGCTGCTTCAAGGTGATAGGTTGCTTGACATGGTAAATTCTCAGAGCACTCCTTGTGTGTGAGGAGTCTAGGATATGTCTGGTTCTGGGTCCAGGAAGAGTTATCACAAGCCTTGTTCCCCTAATTTGAGCTAATATTCCATCACTGACAACAAGTTGATTCACATCCCTGACCCAGTATACTTAATGCAGCCTTTAGGACAAAAAAGATTTTTCTATCTCTGCCAGGGAATTTAAAGATGAGCTAAAAAGGTAACTATTTGAAATCAGTGATATTAGATAAGCTAAAAGCAGGGATAAGCAATATGGGAGGTCTGAAAAAGAGATCTTGTGCATTCAAGGGAAGCATTAAGGCTTTGTGGACTATTTCACAGATCTTTTCACATCTAAAAATTACAAATGTGTTGACGCTTTCATCTCCTTGATTTATTTGAACCATTTTTTTTTCAACTCAGGCAAAACAGTGGCATTGATTCCTACCCTATTTTCTGACATTGACATTCATTGAATCCAAAGCCTACTGTGTAAAAACAAAATATGTGTTTAGTTGTTTTTTTCTTTTCTCCATAAATATAAAGGAAATAAATATTTATCAACAATTAATAAACACTTTCTGTCAAGTTCCTTCCCATATGCATACACTATTTAACTTTTTGGGGAAAAAAATGAACTGGATCACTTACCCTCTTCAAAGCCATCCCGGAATGACCCAGAACGGCTCATTGTCCTGCTCTTTTCATCCAGTGACATTGAGCTGTTCCGGAACCGGGTGTCATTGTAAGGATCATAAGGGCCATCTGCGTTAGAAAGACTGTGTGTCCGGAGCATGGTTGGGTTGGATAAGCTCATTTGGGCAGCTGTGGTGGGGCTCGCTAGAATGCAAACCAGAGATAGGAAATTCACAGATCTGTATCCATGCTATGCTACTTTCAGAAATGAACAAACCAAACTATTACTATTACTATAAGCATAAGAGTAGTAGTCTCTAACAAAATCTTGCTGAAAAATTTGTCCTGCGTTAATCAGATAGGTGGAAAATGAAGTCTTGGAAGAATCTTGTACAACATGCCTACTCCAACCATGTTATTCTATTGATTCTGAATAGTAATCAAATTACAGATAGTAACTGAAATTCTGGTAGTCAGGCACAAAGTCAGACATTGTTAGAATATCAAGTCAATGAGAGTCACTGGAGAGGATACTCTCAAAGCTAAAACTCCTTGGATCAGAATCCTCCCCTTTCCACAATAAAGTAATTTGGTACCGTTATGACATTGCAAATCTTCATTATCAAATAAAGAAGATAGTGTTCCAAGAAAAATAAGCAAGTAAGATTTTAGAGGCAATGCTGATCCATTAAAAAGTTATATTTATCATAGAATTGGTGATATGGTAATACATTTTTGGGTTTCACGATATACATTTGCAGCTATTCATCTTCTGTTCTGATTTTTGGCTCCTGTCCAAACTTATTAGTACCAGCTAATAGTTAGGGCTGTGCAAAATTGAACTGTTTTGTTTCACAAAGATTCAGTTCTGATCATTGGAGGAATTCACTTTAAAATGTTGTCCAGATTCAGAAAAGTAAGACACTCCAATGGGAAGCACTGAAGTGAGTCATTTCATTTCACTTGGCTGTTTTGCTTTGGTGGCAATATCTTCTATTGAAGGCCATGAAACAGTCAATTCAACGTAGTATGACAACCCTCAGACAGCGTCTAGAAGCAGGGTGTGCATCAAAAGGGCAGTTCACTGAAGCTTTTATCAAAACAAAGAATCTCTTTCAGGCTTTGTAGCAATCTAACAACTATTACTCTATCAAGTCAAGTCTTTATGTAGTGGCTGCCAAACCATCATAGATGTTATTCATTCATAGGGAAGATTAACTAAAATAAAAAATAATCATTTAAAAAAAACAATTATAATGTGCAATGTTTTAAAACCAGCTTAGTGAAAATAGTGAATAGTTTTTCAGATATAACATAAACCTTGCATGGCTCTAAAAATCTGAAAGAAATGTTGTATGTAAAAGCAAACTCCTCTGACACACCAAAATTCTAAGTTATAAATTAGAAAATTGTGTGCATAATGAGCATACTGGTTTGATATGTTTCAATTGGCATTCTATATCAGCACATACCAGCTTATCAGTATCGATCACCAATTAAATTTACCTTTTTTCAAGCCAGCTATACTTTTCAGAGTTGAAAGGAAACACTCACCAAGCTGAGAGAAGTTAAATCTAGTCCCAGATGGTGATGTGATGCTGGAACCAGAAGAAAATGGAGAATTGACAACATTGTCCTGAAGACCTCCTGCAGAATGCGAACGCAGCCATTCTTTTGCTTCCTCTTGATTGCGAAGTTGTGATGATGGTGTGTACCTGTACAAATCACAATCAGGTTTAGCTTTTGCTCAGACAAATCTTACTTGACTAAACTACAAAAGTATTTTAGAGAAAACAGCAAAACTGAAAAGAAGTCTGTCCCTGTCAGAACACACTTTTTCAGGTCAGTGGAATTAGCCTAGTTGAAAGATTTGATCTTATAGATATTTATGAACATTTTTGGGGGTGGACACATCGGTTTGTATCATGATTAAAGTAGGAACCATTGATTCCAGTGGACCTGCTTTAAGCATGACTAAGTCTGGATTTAAGTAGGATCCTCTGAATGTCAAATTCAAGCAAATGCTTTTTTATCGGCAGCTGTTACTAATATCTGTTACCCATGAATAGGAACATTATGGATTCATCTGATAGTTTGCAATTTATCCTGCCACTCATAAGATGACTATGTGAGAAACCATGAAATCTAATGTGTGACCTAAAACCAGTTAATTATTCCTTATCTGGCAAGATACTTGCGAACGTCTTAAACTTGATGCCCCTTAGTTATGTTTAAACAACTTCCAATGTTCATATTCAACAAGGCCAACAGCCATTGCTGCCACTACATACTAATTTTTAAAGTTGGTCCTACACAAATATATGTATACAAATACATGGAGGTTATTGACTTGTAGGAAGGTGTTGGGAGAAAAGCTAGAATTAGGTCCTTAAAATACTGCTGCTCAAAAGCCTAACATTGAATTGCAAGAATCAATACCTGAAAATCTAGCAAAAGGAGGTCCACGTATGCCTTTAGATTGTGTACATATTGGGTTCATATGATTACCATCAATTGATAATGACTTAGTTGACTGACTCAACCCTTTGCACTCCAGATACGTACCATATACTCAAGGATAAGCTGAGAATTTTAGATGCCAAAATACACCTGAAAAATTGGTTAGGCTTATTTGTGAGTATATTTCCACAGCTTTTTAAAGTAAGGTGACCAACTTTTTTAAAATGAAAAGGAGGACACAAATAAATTGAAGAAAAAAATATCGTAAATAAAAGAAACATTTTATTCATTGCAACAATAATACAGACAACTTGCATGTGCAAAGTTTGCCAGCAGGGTGTTTTGGTGCACTCAGCAGCAATTCCTATTGGCTTTCAAAAGCCAATAGCGGGAGTAGCACAGTTCATGCAAAAGTTGAAAAAAACCCATCAAAAAAGGTGCTGGA